AAGGACTGGGAATACTGGCAAGACCTGTCTCATCGGCAGCAAGTCCGCCCAGCACATCCCGCAAGAGTCAATATCACAATGTATGCATGTTTGCCCCAATCCAAGTCAGAAGCATCAGGTGATTCGACCGAACAGAATATGAGTCCCGAGGCAACGGGAACAAGCATCGAGCCGCAGGAGGCAACCGTCAGCCTGCCAAGTAGTGACCAAGCACCTGTCACAGAGCTGGATCCGGATCAGACCAAAGAGACAGGAGCGAGTTCGAGTCAACTCCATATGCCGAGTTTTGACCATGGCCCAAAGTTCTAGACCATATCAGCCGAAGAAAAATCGTTCTTTCTGAAATTGCATCAGAACCTAGGACACCCTCATGGTCAAAAGCTGTGTTCAATGCTGCGTCAACAGGGGTACTCACCCCGATTGTGTCAAGCTGCCATGGACCTAAGTTGTTCCGTATGTCAGAATACTAAGGAACCCAAACATCAAAGACCTTCTACAATCAAACGTGAGCTAGACTTCAATGACTGTATTGGGATAGATGGTGTTGTATACACGAATCTGGCAGGAACCAACTTCAACTTCTATCACATCATCGACTATGGAACAAACTACCAGGTAGCATGTGCAAGCCCAGGTAAAAGCAGTGATGATGCAATAGACAAGGTGCTCAATGGATGGCTCCAATGGGCAGGGGCTCCGATTGAGATTCACACAGACTCAGGGACGGAATTCACATCCAATGAATTTGTCACTTTTCTAGGCCAGTTCAACATCAAAGCAATAGTTACCCCACCAGGTGCACACTGGCAAATCGGAAAAGTAGAAAGACATGGTGGAATCCTACAGGAAATGCTCAAGAAGTATGAACAGGAACATCCAACAACGTCATACACCAACCTGCAGACAGCACTATCGCACTGCACTTCTGCCAAGAATGCACTGAGCCAGAAACAGGGATACTCCCCAGAAACTCTTGTTTTTGGAAAAGGGTCCAGAATTCCAGCATCAATCTCATCGGACGAGCAATTGCCATCGCACCTCCTGGCAGACGATGACACCCAGGAAGGAATCAGATTTCGAGAAAAGCTGGCATACCGCGAAGCTGCACGACGAGCTTTTCACTGCGCAGACAACAGCTCTGCGTTGCGAAGAGCTGTTCTCCGGCGAAGCTGTCCTCACCGAGGATCCTATGACAGGGGAACTTGGGCGATGCTATGGAGACAGACTCCAACCCAACGGGGGTGGTTTGGTCCAGCCAGAGTCATCCAACAAGAAGGTCCCCATTGTCTTTGGTGTAATCACGCAGGAAGCTTGGTAAAGATAGCCCCTGAACATGTTCGACCCGTAAGTGCCATGGAAGCCCAGCATATCCCCCGAGCTCTAAGTCCGATCGCAGGGATTGAAGGCGAAGATACACAAAATGCCAACATTCGTGGACAAGCACCCGCAACTCCACCAGAGAGCCAAGAAGATAGCAATATAATCCCACAACACGTAGGAACAGGAAACACATCGAATTCGTCAGAGGTCCAGCCAGATCAAGAGCCCTCGATTCCAGAGAGTCAAGTGTCTCCAGCGAGCCGACAAAGCATCGAATTGCCGAGTGACCCCGGCGGTCATCAGGATGCAGCAAGTGTGCCGGTCCCAAGCGAAGCATCCGATCTCAGTGATGAACTCGTATGTGACTCCCTACTAAGTGTAGAAGATCAGGTCAACTGGTGCCAAACCCAAATAGACTCAGAAGCTGTAGGATGGAAAGCTGAATTCCTGTTTCCCCAAGAAACAATGATGAAATGGGATGAAAACTCACCAGCAACAGATCTTATCATGATGACTACCACCACCAAGCGTGACCGAACAGAAGTAAAGATGCACCAATTGTCCACCGAAGAACAAGCTCTCTTCCGTCAAGCAAAGGAAAAAGAGATCACAAATTGGTTAAAGACAGGGACGGTGAGTAAAATCTTTCGGGATCAGCTGTGTCCGGAACAGGTAATGCGTTGCCACTGGATATGCGTATGGAAACCCCTTGATGCTGACGACCTTCAAACCGGATCAACTGAGAACGTCAGACCAGGACCAAAGACCCATAAACCGAAAGCACGTCTAGTAGTCCTTGGATATCAAGATCCCCAGTTAGACAGCATACCCCGGGACTCGCCGACACTTGGAAAGCAATCCAAAATGCTCTTGTTGCAAGCAATATCATCCATGGGATGGACTCTGAAAAGCTTCGATATCAAAGCTGCATTTTTGCAAGGCAAAACGCAGGAAGATCGAGCTCTAGGCCTGGAACCTGTTGAAGAACTTCGAAAGGCATTGAAACTTCAACCCAATCAAATCTGCAAACTCGAAAAATCAGCCTACGGTTTGATCGATGCTCCTTATTTGTGGCATAAGGAATTGGATCGGACCCTTCGTGATTTGAACTTCATTCCAGCATCCTTCGACCCATGCGCATACGTACTATACAAACCAGGACAAAGCAAAATTTCGGGGGTCCTAGGAGTTCATGTTGACGATGGACTAGGTGGAGGAGATCAATACTTTGAAGAACAAATCTCAAAGCTAGAAGCCAAATTCCCATTTGGATCAAAGAAAGTAGGTCAATTCACGTTCACTGGTGTTGAGATGAACCAACAGGCAGACAAAAGTATCATCATGTCCCAATCCAAGTATGTAAGCAAGATTGAGCCAATCCACATGAATGCAAGCAGACGAACATGTCTGACGGATGAAGTGACCTCCGAAGAGAGACACTCGCTCCGTGCACTTGTGGGAAGTCTTCAGTACGCGAGCATCAACACGAGACCGGATCTTTCAAGTCGACTAAGCTACATCCAAAGTGAGATCAACAAAGCCACGGTCCAAACGTTGCACGATGCCAACCGTGTACTTCGTGAAGCAAAACGATACAAAGACACATGCATCAGAATCCAACCCATCCCAATCAAGGATCTCAGATTCTTGACATTCTCGGACGCATCATTTGCGTCGGCCAAGAGCCCAGAAAGTCACACAGGCATGATCATCTTGGCCACCCATAGGGATATAAGTGAGAACTATCAATGCCCAGTCAGCCCGTTGTCCTGGGGTTGCCGCAAGATCCAGAAAGTAGTTACGAGTACTTTTGTCAGCCGAAACAACTTCGCTCCAAACAAGCTTAGACCAGCTATCTTGGTCTATTGGGCATGGATCCAAAATCCCCAAGTCAATTGGAAACGACCACATGAGGTTTTTAAGAATGAACCCAAACCAATCCAATCTACCACAGCCTTAGCCCAGTGTTTGCCACGATCAGTAGCTGTCACAGATTGCAAATCTTTGTATGATTTGGTTACCCGAACTGCTCAACCAAATTGCCAGGAATTCTGTACACAACTTCAAGCAAAGGCGATAAAAGATTTGCTATCCGAAGGCATTCAATTAAGATGGGTTCATACAGGAGCTCAGCTCGCTGATGCACTAACTAAGGTGATGCAAGGAACTTTCCTCCGATACACTTTGCAACGAGGCATGTATCAACTAAATGACGAACTGCAAGTGCTGAAAGAGCGAGCTGACAGCAGAACACGCCTTAGGTGGCTTGAGTCCGGGATCCCTCTAATGGGAGACCAGCAGCAAGAAGGATGATCGACACACAACCAAAGAAAAAGATTGATAGAATTTTTGATGAGTGTGAATTTCGAACCTTTCGGTCACTGAGGAACCAGTCTTGACCCACTCAGGTGTGTTCACGTCCGAAGCCACGAGTGTGCGAGGCCGCAAGGGTGGTGTAGGGTGGGTCACCCGTGACCTGAGCCATAGAAGCAGTGAGGACACTGCAGGGCGAGGCGCCCAACCGTTCGTACCAACCTTCAGGTGAGCTGTGAGTGGAAAACGCACGCGGCTGTGCGAGGGAAGGAGGATCTTTTGTTGCTACCTTTGTGTCAATCACAATATTACAGTATATGTGTGTATGGGTGTGTGTGAGGGTTCACATGTTCCCAATTCCAAACAGGGCGCTACTTCAAGTAGTGAAGACAAAGACGGGTGTTGTGATGGATATACATACATATATATATATAGCATTTTCAGACGGTCCGATTGACATAGTCTCAAAAAGCAGTAGAATCTTCAGCTCGGCTTCCAAGCCCTCCTTAGTCTTAGCAGTTGCAAGAATTATCTCTGAATTTGAGCCAAACTTGCATGAACCCTTCAGCCACTCCACCTAATCTTGTCAAACTCGCCCAACACCTCAGGCCTCAGGCGCCTCGCTTCTCCAGTGCTGCGAGGCGTGCCGCCCGCAACGCGGCCGCATCGCCTGCGGAGGGCGCCGCGGCGGCACCACCCAGTGCCTGCAGGTCGGACCACCCGAGATCTCGATGTCGCCTCGCCTGCCTGAGTCCTTGTCTCGGCTCATCCGGATGGCATCACACGGCAGAACAGGTCTCAAAAAGGACAAACCAGCATGTTTCTTTCGGGCGGTTCCGAAGCCCCTCTGTCTCATCACACTCCCACTCCGTGGTCGCATGAGGTCAGGTCAGTCAACCTAATAGAAACCCAAACCATGCTGCCCACCATCTCCGCCATTCAGCTGAGCCACAGTGCCAGCCGTCTCACGCCAGTCGCCGGCAGCCTTCTTCCATGCTGCAAATGTTGACATGACAGCCTCACAAAGGCCAGTTCAAAAACCAAAAAACGCTTAGCTAGCACTGCCTTCATGAGGCACTCATGAGGACCTCATGTATGTACTTCATGTATGTGGTTGTAAACATCCTCATGGTGTCTCAGCAAAGGCATCGAATCATCGAATGCAATCTATTTGCAATGTGTACGCAGTAACCAGGAGAGCACTGCTGAAGATGAGCATGGCATCACACTGGTCAGAGTCAACCCTGGGTGGAATGAAGGGTTGGGATTGTTGCAGGTACACCACATGGACATGTGACTGACCATGGACCTGCCACAATATTAATCTGAGAAAGAACACAACCTCGATGAGACACTCGGCATCTTCACTAGCCTTGTCTTGGAGGTTGTTTGCCCAGTAAGCTGTTCCCTGCCTCAGGAGTGCGAGCAGAAGCCACATCGTTTCTGCCTTCAATGCTCGTGATGGCCTGCCGCAAAAGGAGCAAGGTCTTGAGAAACATTTGGCAAAGGACGTCTAGCTGGGGAACTTGAAGCATCTTTAAGCTGTCACTAAACAAAGCACAATGGCCTTGCCCTTGTGGTCCAGCACGATGAGGCTGGGAATGCCCTCTATGCCAAAGTGTTGGGAGAGCTCTTGCATTTCTTTCTTTGCCCCAAAGTCCACTGCCAACCAATCGCCATGATGATTTTGGAAATACTCCTGGCTTTCAAAAGTCGAAAACTCAGGAACCTTAACCTCACCCAGACTATCCGAGAGCTGGCACAACAAATGCCAGTCCTGGAATTCCTCTTGGGACTTGTCTCCGGACACGAACACGATCTCCACTTCCTCCCCCTTCTCTTTCAGCGTCTCGTAGAACCTACAACTCCCAAACCACCAATCATTGGGCTACTTGATTCAAAATTTAGCCTCCATGAGTTTGTTGTGGCCTTTCAGCTTCTCCAATGTGTTCAAGTGCGTTTTGGGAAGCCGCGGCCAGGTGGCTGCTTCAATGCTGGGGTGAAACCTCTGCAAGGTGGGCACCAGTGTGCTGAGAAGTAAAGCCTTAGATGCTGTTGAAGCACGAGACATGGAACGCCAACCAACTGTGGAACAGCACGGAGGAGCTGATGGAATACCATCCACCAATCTCAACCCGTGCTGACTTAGTTACATGCGATATAATGTGCCAAAAGAAAAAGGGCACCAAGTCACGCCACAACTTTGCCAGAGATATCTCCTTTTGATCCATCCTCAGGGGCATTCACTGCTGAAAAGCATCCCCCCGCCCAAAAACTCTTCCCCGGCTGCTTAGTCTCCGGAGTCCTTCTTTATCAGGGGCAGACCAGCCACAGGCGGCTCCATTGCTCGAATCTCAGGTCCAACTTTCAAGCTAGCAGCAGCTGAGGCCAAAATTGGCAATGGCACGCTCACCAACCATCTATCCGCGGCTGCCAAAATGTGAGTCGAAGCTCAATGACTCAACGATCGAAGAGATCGAAAATACTTACAAAATCTTACAAATGCACGTCTGTGAACCGCACATCGTATCACAGCAGAAAAATATGAGGAAAAATATAAGAGAAGGTTTCGAAAGAAAGAATTGCATGCGCAAACCTGTGACTCCAAGGTCTACACACACACGCCTCCTTAGCACTCTTTCACGCTCTCCGAAGCATCCTAAGGCCCCATACATGCTGCTCAAAGCTGCAATCGCTGCCAGCACGGCAGGGTGACGCTCCAACACCTGAGAAATAAGCTTCACGATCACGTGGATTCAATCGAGTCAGGTGAACCAACAGGGTGGAGGATTTGCTCATCGACCTGCTCTCCTCAAAGCCAGTTCTTCGTAGCAAAGGCAGCCACTGGCCCAGCCAGCAATTCAACGCTAATCAAGTAATTCCCGAACGTGAGAAGTGAGAAAGTTAGCACCTGACAGACTCAATCTCACCCAGCTCGATGCGGAAGCCACGAAATTTCACCTGCAGGGCTGCGGCGCGGAGACGGCAGGCAGCTCATTTTGGAACACATCGAGTAGATTGCAGGAGACATCACGAGACCAAGGCCCCAACACGGCCCGTCGAATGAAAATGAGCGTGAGCAGCATGGGCCGGCCTGCTGATCAATCCGGCCCAGAAACTGGAAGCCTCCTGAGAAGCAGCGATGGCTGATCCCTCGAAGGTCAGGCCATCCAAAGGTTTGGGATTACTCAGCCGACTCGACCCTTGCACAGGAACATGGAAGTTCTCCCATCCTTCCCCAAGGCAAACTAAATCTCCAGTTCGATAGACCTGAGCTCAACTCTGTCGCTGACTCAGCTTAACAAAGCCACACATTCATTGTGGACACCTGCATGTGCCTGGTCCTCGAATACAAGACGGGATACCAAGCCCGCCTTACATTCCTACAACTAGCTAGCCTGCATGGAGATGCATAGAAGGCTCCTCACCATTGCATAGCAGCATAGCAATACAATAATTACTCTCAAATCGAATGTCTCAAATCCTAATTAGGACATACCCCGCCAGAAAAATGAATCGTGATGTCCGCCACAATTAGAGAGTGAGAGAGAGAGAGAATGGCAGTCGATTCAGGTGGCAAAAGCCGAGTATAAATGAAAAAAGAAACTATACACCAAGTAGAACACTCAATTTGGGGATCTCACCCACCCATGATCTGCCCAAGCACGCAGCCGCCAGACCGCTGCACGAAGCTCTTAGCTGTGAGTTCCGGTCGGCAGTGGTAGCCTAGTGCCACACCAATACCTCCCACCTTGGTAGTCGGACTAACACCTACCCCATGTGAATCCATGGGACTCTGCGGTTGTTCTTTTCTTCAGTCTTCAAGGACTTTACAATCCTTCAGATTAATTCCCTTCCTTGCGTCCTTCCCTTTTCCTATATACAAATTCCGAGGAAACCACTTCCTGACCACAAACACACCAGGGCTTGCTGGCACACGGTGGCCAAACAAACGACACAATTCAAAAGGTGTATGTACATATGTGTTTATATAGTTTCTGTATATTTACATATTTCACCACATAAATACAACATATATATATACATTCGACATCATTGGACATCTTACTGGCAGTGTGGTCATCGCTGCATTGCTCATTCCTTCTGATCTGAAGTCCTCGGCAAGCAACCAGGAGCTCACCAGAACCGTCAGCAGACTCTTCCACTCGAGCCTGGACTCGAAAACCCCAAATGCAGAATCAGTCTGGGTCTTTATGAAAGTATATTCTGCCAGCGTCTTACTGCTGGGTGTGGGAGAGGTCGGGTGTTCCTTCTCGACTGATGCGACCAACTCACCTCCTCCACCTGCTCCATGCAAAGACGGACGTTTGGCAATGGCAGGCCAATGGGCACCGAAGCATCAAAGCCTGGCTCGATCTGGTTGGGAACACTCTGGGCGCTACTGGACTCAAAGGCAAGCAAGCTACTGGACTCAAAGGCATACGTTGTTGCCCAAATGGTCGCTTCCTCGCAAAGATTGGTTGGACATATGGCTGGGTTCAGGCATTACGATGGTGCGGCAAGGGTTTCTAGATCAGGGCGGAACATCATGGAAAACAGTTTCACCCGGTCCGTAGGGCCATAAGCATTCCACACGCCAGCGCCCGCTGCCATCTGCAAAGGCTTCACCAAGCTCACGGGGAAGGCCTTTGGGGACATGCGGCATCATGCGGCATTCGGAGATTCAACTAGGGCTGCATCCCAGCCTCTCCGCCGCAAATGGCGGACAAACCTGGCAAACGGTTTTGAATTTGCGACGCTGCGACTCAAACAACGGGGAAGCAGGCAGTCAGTACCCTCCCTCTCCCTCCCTCCCTCCCCCTCCCTCTGTCTCATATGTGTGTGTACCCCTTGTAGTCACAGGGATTCATTTGGATTGTTTGCTGGCCTTTTTTTCAGCAAGGGGGCGCAACAGATGCAAGGGACTGCGCCTAACAAAGCTACCTTGCATCTGGGAAGCAGAGCCTGATCAGCTCTGTGTACCTGTTTGAATTTAAAGATTTTGGTGAAG